CTCAAGTTCAATCAGTCTAACCGCATGAATCTCTGTAAATCTTTGCTGTTTTCTTATGAAAAATAGTGATATTATCACTACTACATCCTGTAACATACAATTATTTGCATACGATTACGTGAACTTCCGGGAAATTGGTAACTCCGTCCCCACTCCACTGCTTTAATCTGACTTAAGTACTGTAACTGGAGAGACCGAAATATAATTAGTCTACCTCCATGCCCTATATAGAACTGTCTCAGCTGTCGCAGAAAAATAATTTCGTATAACATTAGCTAGCATTGTGTAAGGGTCAGATCTTACGAATAAATAAATAAATAAATAAATAAATAAATAAATAAATAAATAAAGACATCGTTAATACACAGGGGTCTATAACAGAAAAAAAGACAGGCAAACAAGCCTCCTTGTGACCCGGAGTTACCTATTGTTACACCCCCCCCCCACACCTTATTAAATGCTCCATGAGGGGCCCTTAAGGGTAAGTAAGTAAGCGATGATGATGATGATAATGATGATGTTCATGGTGATGATAATGATGATGATAAAGGTGCATGTGCTCAATATGAGGCAGCCCAAAGCTTTTATAGGGGAGATGGGTGGGCGTATTGGCCCTGGATTCATAACTGATTTTCGAGATAACGAGGACCTGGGTATATTGCCTACATCCCTTGGCACGGACAGCCTCATAGCGCAAGAAACAAACAAACAAAAAATAAACAAACAAAGAGAAATACATGACCAACAAACACTCGTGATGAGAAGAAAAGTATCAATATGAGGGAGCCGAGTGTATACACAGACATTAAGTGAAACCTGGCCGTTAAAACACACCATAACGTCCCGGGCGAGTCGGTAACGTAAACAAATATACCGTAGCACGAATTAGAAGACTGCTATCGATGTTACTGTGCCATGAATTTTTTTATAGACAAAAACTACGCAGTTGTAGCGCGGCCTACGACCTTCCGAGTACTGACTCTAAATAGTCGCTCCATCGTTTGAGCTAACCTTCGTGCTATACAGTGATGGTGTGGATTAGTAGTTCGCCTATCATGCACTTTTCTTCGCACAGGGCACCTTTAGCCACTCACACGCAAACAACCTGCCGAATAGCAGGGGCGGCAACCTCGTGCGCTTAATGCGAAGAGTTTCCCGCAATACGCTATGTGTCATATCTCGTGTCCCACCCTGTCTGTATTCCCCATTAAGCCGCTTCTGCGGTCTCCTAAGAACTTCCATTTATACCGTAGGAGACTGCGACAAAGCGCAACACTCGCCTGATCTCTTCTATTTTCCCACAATCTTTGGGAGGGAGCACAGATGAGCTCTAACCTCGACGATCAGCACTTGCTTGTATTAGGGGATGCACAAAACAGATTAGTGCGCCTAGAACTGAAGATTCATGTTTGTTCTTTTTTTGAGAATGAAGAATATTACTCTTTCTCTCTCTCTCTCTTTGTGCGGTATTCGTCGTAAATATGGTAAGTATTTACCTCATTTCTGGTACTGCTTCTAGATTTAAAAATGTCAGTTTTTTTTTCTTGAAGAGCACGTGTTTGGTTTTTCAAGTGACGTGTCAGATCGTATCGCTTCATCGCCGCAGACACTACTATTTAAGTGCGCGCGCGATAGATAAAAACGAGAGCAAACGGCGTTGTGGTCAGGGAGAGTACTGATTGCACGCAGAGTTCTCGAGAACGATGCCTTGCCGTGGCTCTGTGCTGATGGGAAACAGTCGTTATAAATAGGCGTTTCTCAAGTTGCAGATGCAGTTGCTGTCGGCGGCGACGTTCGTTCTCATCGCGGCCTTACGAGTTCGTCGGGCATGCGCCAGCCAGCGTCCCTTCCGACTATGTGTCTTTGTTTGTCTGAATGAGGTTGTGCTACTGTTTATTTTTACTCTGGCTCTTTCCATTTTAAATGAGAAGCATTTCTCAGAGAACTTCGGCGACTATGAGCCTATCAGTCTATCTATCTATCTAGCCGCCTACGACTTTTAGCTCTCCTGGCTGTTTCGATGATGGGATTTATACTACAGTTTTATGGTCTAACATGACTGTATTACGAGCATAAGGCGGCTAGTCATAACATGAAGACTATGACATGTATGCCATGAATGTCATGATTTACATGTTATGGTCTTGCTGCTCTTGGCGTGGTTTCGTTCACATGAAATATTGCAAAACTGGTATGGTATGACATGACTGCCTGGCGAACATAAATCACAGGCCCTAACGTGGAAATTATGACATGCATGTCATGGAAGTGATGACTACATGCCATACGCTCATGGTGCGCTCACGGTCGATTCGCTATCTTGAAATATACCAAATTTGGTATTCCGTGACGTGAAAGGATGATGAAGGTATATGAGTGATGCATACACAATAATCATGACATGCGTGTCATGTAAAACATGACTACATGTAACGCTCATGATTCGCTCGCGGCCATTTCGCTAGCTTCACATATACCGAATTCGGTATCACGTGACGTGAATGGACGACGAAGGTAAATGACACGCCCCAAATGTGCTAATAATGACATGCGTGTCAGGTAAAACATCACTACATGCTACGCTCATAGTGCGCTCGCGGCCGTTTTGCTAGCGTCACATATACCAAATTTGGTATTACGTGACGCTAACAGACGATGAAGGTAAACGACATGTCGAAACATGATAATCGTGACATGCGTGTCATGTAAAACATGACTACATGGTAGGCTTATAGTGCGCTGGCGACCGTTTCGCTAGCTTCACATATGCAAAATTTGGTTTTACGTGACGTGAATGGATGACGATGGTATATGACTGGTGCAAACATGATAACCCTGACATTCGTGTCGTGTGGGAACTTGATAATATACCACGCTCATGATGCGCTCGTGGCCGTTTCGCTAGCTTCACATATACCAAATTTGGTATTACGTGACGGGAATTGACAAAACAGGTAAGTGCCACATCCAAACAAGATAATCAAAATATTCCTGTCATGTAAAACATGACTACATGCTAGGCTCATAGCATGCTCGCGTCCATTTTGCTAGCCTCACAAATACCTAATTTGTTAATACGTGACGTGAATGGACGACGAACACAGATGCCAGGCGCAAACATGATAATCATGACATGGAAGTCATGTACGGCATAATTTACATGCCTACCACTGCTGGGCTTGGTGTTGCAAACGTTAGTGGTGCCGTCGTTACGCGACTATAAACAACATACCTGCATTTTATCCAGATACCCGAGTGCGCATAACATTTCCACTTGTGTTTACTGTGTACCACATCCATGCGCCTCGTAACGTTGTGGGGATTTTAACGTGCCATATAAACTTTCCTCATTCGTGTTTCGCATATCATCGATTCCCACAGTGCGTGGGATCTTCCAAATAAAAAAAATCTATCATAAAAAAGTTCTAGCTGCGACGAGGAAACACCACTGGTAAACATTTTTCTTCCCTTGGATCGTGGCTTTGCAATAGAAAGAGTCGGGGAGGTGTTGCGAACAACCAACATTTCTTGTTATTGATTCAGCTGGCATGTAACAGAGCAGATGTTAGGGTGAGCTGGTGTAAACTTATTAAACACAGATCACGCAGCCCTTTTATCTTGTGACATGTCTTCTCGGGGTTGTCTTCCTGAAGATCAGGTGGATTTCGACAAACTTCTTATTCTTACAAATTTTTAACAAAAAGGATCACTTTCACGAGGTTTGAAGGAGTGAAGATGTGAACAGAACCGACAGCTAGGAAGCTTTAGTTGAGACTTTTAAGTGAAGCTTTTACAAAGAGTGTAAACTTATTCATCTGCCTCAACCTACCACCGGGAATTCTGCCCAAGTATTTACCGAAACTGGCATAATGATATTCCGCGTCATACAGTATAGTCTCTTTACCATCAAAATGACATTAGGCAAAAGAACTAAAAAGTCTGAGACTATACAAAGCGTGCTCGTTATCAAACATAATTTAGATAAGCACATGCGGCAGGCATTGCCATTCAAGTACGATTGAAGATGTTGTTTTTCATTGGTTAATAAGGTGAGAGCTCGGTATTCACACAGTAACACTGATAGAAAACTAGCTTTAAATTTGCAACCTTACGAATGGCTTCTCATTAGGAATAAACTAGCATGTTTCCTATCAGTCTCTTCTCACATTTTACGTGTTCTGAGACATAAATCAATACAATCGCTCTAAAAATTTCTGAAACTTATTTCACTTGGCGAAAATTATGAACGAATGATACATTGTAGAAGACTGACTCGCTATTGCGAGCTATAGTGGTGTACATGTAGTAGGTCAGTAGTATACATATAGTTGCCTTAATTTTTACTAGATGCGTTTCTTCTTGTAGGGAAAGATGCAACCCATCAGAAAAAATACCTCGAGCCATCGCCTGCAAGGCCAGGTGCTCAGCCGGCTCGAAGATGAAAAGGAAGTAGAACGTGTTGACACCAAGTTGCGCGACGCTGTGAAACTCGAGGCCAACGTGAACCATTACATATGAGACGTAGTTTATCAGCGCAAAACCGACGTCATAATGTTTCAACCAGACGGGCAAGCTTGCAAGGCACCGCTGTGTCATCGTGTTGACAATGCTGAACGATGACGACAGAAGCGCTGCTCCAGCAAAATTGAGGCTTCCCGCCCAAGTGTGGGCGAGGAGCCCCTTGCTACGGCCTTGCAATGTCAAGTTCAACTGCCCATTACGTAGCACCGAAGCACGCCAGCGCAGGCGCGCGCGGCTAGTGCAAGCAAGAAGCAAAACACACAATCACTCACAACGCTAGCAGCTGCGCTTTTCCTCGTGTGCGGCGGCGTTAAGCGGCGGCGGACAGCGGGCATTGCAGATGAAGCGTGAACGCGCGTGCGTAGGTGCCATACTGAGTGCGATGCGACGCGGACGGCCCCGGGCGTGGGAGCGGCACCGGAGGCCTGGGCTCGATGCCTGGCCCACCACGGGGTCGTGCCGCGAGGTCGCTCACTCACCGCCAGCGCTTGCAGGGCGACGATCCAGTTGAGCCAAGCCCTCCTGGCTATCGGCATACTGGCGACTGACGTTCCAACGTCCGCTGAGGCGCACAAGAGGCAACAGCAAACCGGTTCCTTTTCTATCGACGCTTGTTGTCCTTCTGCCGCCACCGTTCACGTCACGGCCGCGCGCACTCCTTTCTCTCCGGCCGGCCGGCCGGCCGGCGGCGACGGCTAGCAGGAAGGACGGCCCGGCGGGGGCCAGCGTCGCCGCCGTAATACCGCCACCTGCCTCCCTCAGCACCCACTCGTGGAACAGCACCACGAAGAGGGCGTCCAGCAACGTGAGGTCACTGCCTGTGGCTTAACCACGCGCTGACCATGGAGGCGTAGGTTGTCTTGCGCGATACGCCGTCTGCGGTCAGCCTAATCGATGAGATGGACTAGTGATCGAAAGAAAAAAAGATAGACGGAGAACATTTCTTGGAGAGTAAAACAAACGAACCATAATCTAAAAAAAAAACAAGAAAAAAGACGCCCCATGTCGGACGACCTTATGTTATGGCGCCTACCACCACGAAACAAAGGCGCAGGGAGAATGACATGCGGAAGCCAGAGAGCCACACAACAGCGCAGTATCCCTTTTCTGTGTTGTTGTACGTCGTTCTTTGGTGTTCGTGGTTTCGAATGGAGCATTAAGCAGTCGCGAGTGACCACACAAATATATTTTTGTTGAAAAAGTTGTTCTCAGCCCACCGATCAATATCAGAATTAAGGTATACTGTACCTCGTCGGTGTGAGTGCGGCAAATGACTTGCACGTGACAGCGTATTTCAACTTTTACAAATGGCGGCCACGCAGATGTCCGAATTGTGGGCAAAAAAACGACGCGCTTTCAGAGAGTCAGCCTTCGATTTTTTCCAGGAAGGAGCACTACAATACTTCTTGAGAAATGCATTGGCAGTGTCAAGTTTTTATGCTCCCGTATCTCGTTAGTGTTTCCTCCAGTACCGACATAATGTGAGGCCCTGGAAACAATTGCACTTTAGCAGGCAATTTCCGGATGCACTTTGAGCTTCATGGCGTAGATCCCCTTTTAGCGCTTCGCTTTGATAGGGCCTTTAAATCAGTTGCTAAAAGCAGTTACCCCGCAGGTCGCGGGTTCGATTCCCGGCTGCGGCGGCTGCATTTCCGATGGAGGCGGAAATGTTGTAGGCCCGTGTACTCAGATTTGGGTGCACGTTAAAGAACCCCAGGTGGTCAAAATTTCCGGAGCCCTCCACTCCGGCGTCTCTCATAATCAAATGGTGGTTTTGGGACGTTAAACCCCACAAATCAATCAAAAGCAGTTACCGAACATAATGAATTCGAAAACCATCGTTAGCACGATATCACAAGAACTCTTTGAACGCGGTCACGTGGGGAAGTTGCACGTTTTCTTTACATTTCCGAACGGAGAGAAAAAAAACGTTTATTTACAAAACCAAAGTCCGGGTCTGAGTTCTAGAGTGAGGCTTTACTGACCTCTCCGAAGACGATGATTATATGGTCAATGAGAAATGTCCACGAGGAGGTTTTTACGCCCAAATTTGTGACCCAGGGATCTAATGTAAATACGTTAGAGCGAAGTTATTGGCGTTTCGGTCTATTGGCTCAGGGGAAGTGCAAATGGGCGATAGAATGTGGGCGATAGAATCGGTATGATACCGCGTACTTAGCAATGAGATGTACGTGGGGCACGCTGTACTTTGTGCAGTGTAACGTCATTCTGATGCAGTGATCTGGGAAGCCATGCGAGGAAAAGTGGAAACGATGTGAGGACTTATTTTTCGTTCCGCACGGTCTTCCTCACTTCCCTGAAAGTAGTTCAAGGCACTTTCTACGGCCGCCAAATAAACTTCAACGCAAAACACGATCTACATTACACCTCTCACGGAACCCATTTCATTGCCGTTTTTCCCTGCTCTCTCGCGTCTGTCTAACAGGTGCACATTATTTGTCAGCCATTGCATTCTTGCTACTGTAAGCAAGTGAGGGTATCTTTACTTAGGCCGGAATTACCAGTACTCACGTCAATGCACCAGCCGCAGTGCACCAGCTAAACTCAGAAAAGCTTCCACATGAAGGTGTCATTTGGCCATTACTGAACAGCTTGCGGGTGGACTGCTTGATTAGCCGGATGCTTAGGATTACATGGATGCCCACTCTTCGTTTTCTCAGTCTTATGAAGAAGGCTTGAAGGGTTGAATGTAACTCGTCAGAACCTTTACTTATAGCTGTCTCTAGCAAGGACTCTGAGAAATGAGACTGATGTCTTTGTCGACGTAATAACCGCCATGGTGAAATAGCCCAACAGATGTAGTCCTTATCTCTACACTCGAACGCCCCTTTCTTCAGCGTTGCGCTATTTTATGAGAAAGAAGACCACGGTCATTGCCTTTCGTGTTTGTGGATGCCTCAACTCTGGTTTGGAAGAAAACAGAAATTGAGAAAGAGAACCACCCAGACTGAGAGAGGCTTCCCGAGAAGGTTTCGCTGAGTTAGGATTTAATAAGCTTGGACACATGTCAGCAGCGATAATACGTGTTGCTCATAATCTGTAAGCACTTCTTGCTGGAGCAATATAAAAAGTGTATATAGTGCACGCGCATTTCTTTAAAATAACCAATGACGTAGTGAACATAAACTTGGGGGATTACGTCTGAAAACTACAATTTAATGTAAAGTAATGTCATTTAATGATAGCGCCCACATTTTAACCAGCTGGGGATTTTAAGTGCGAAGAATTTCTTCGCAAAACAAAGGCGCTGTGGCCGTTTCTTTCTTTCTTTCTTTCTTTCTTTCTTTCTTTCTTTCTTTCTTTCTTTCTTTCTTTCTTTCTTTCTTTCTTTCTTCCATCCTTTCTTTCTCCCTCTCTTTCTTTCTTCTTTTTTTTCTTTCTTTCTTTCCTTCTTTCTTTCCATCTTTCTATCTTTCTTTCTTTCTTTCTTTCTTTCTTTTTTTCTTTCTTTCTTCCTATATGGCCGCCTATGTCTTTTAGCTCTGTTGGCTGTGGCGGCTGCATTTCCGGCTGTGGCGGCTGCATTTCCGGCTGTGGCGGCTGCATTTCCGATGGAGGCGGAAATGTTGTAGGCCCGTGTACTCAGGTTTGGGTGCACGTTAACGAACCCCAGGTGGTCGAAATTTCCGGAGCCCTCCACTACGGCGTCTCTCATTATCATATGGTGGTTTTGGGACGTTAAACCCCACAAATCAATCAAATCAATTAAAGTGACATATCAATCTTCTTCATTTGTGTTTCGAATATGATTGATTTCCACAGTACGTGGAGTCGGCCATTTTTTTCACCAATTTCTCTTTTATTGTGGCCCAAGTAACGAGTTGGGAATTTCGGGACATCTGGCTCAAACGCGGTTTATGCACTAATTTTACCCCAGAGTTGCACAATAGAAAAAACTTGAGAAAGACAGTTCATCAAGGCTACAAAACAGTGTAAGTGGTGAGAGATGAGAGAGTTGCCGAAACGTACGTGCATCGCGAGCTCGTTGCATGCTTTGTGCAGATCGGGTGGCGGAATACGGCTGTTCTCCCTTTCAGCATCGCACGGATTCCCCTCTTCTTTTTTTCTTCTGGTGTCCGTTACCTTTTCTAAGCCAATGGCTCGGCGCCGACGGCACCTTCATATGATAAGAGTATAAGGTCGTAAACACTCTGATGGGCATCTTCTTCTTTGTTTTGGCGCTTGCAGTCCTATCATCAGGTGACCCTTTCGGTAGCATTGGGGACGCGTCGCTTACGCATACCGTACGTTCACAATGGCAACCGAGTTGCCTTCTTCCACAGACACGCACAGCACTGAACGAATAAAGCTGTACGCAAAGTATACGAGGTACTCCGGTACCTACGGTGTCTTTGTGCCTCGGAAGTGTGGAGGGCTTGCGTAGAGAGTACAGCTGTTTAAGGGCTCACACAACCTATGCCATCCTTTGCTTGTGCGTGAACATGTGTCAAGTATACGTGCGCGTGCATGCGCGCATGTGCGCACGTGAAGAAAAAAAGGAATCAAGAAAGCAAGAAAACTGCGCCCTTTAACATGATCAGGTATGTATAAACGGGTCATGCACGGCCTTTTTTAAATATAGCCAACCAACACTGTTCGTATCCGCTCATTTGGCGTATTGTCCCGCCGCGGTGGTCTAGTGGCTAAGGTACTCGGCTTCCGGCCCGCAGGTCGCGGGATCAAATCCCGGCTGCGGCGGCTGCATTTCCGATGGAGGCGGAAATGTTGTAGGCCCGTGTGCTGATTTGGGTGCACGTTAAAGAACCCTAGGTGGTCGAAATTTCCGGAGCCCTCCACTACGGCTTCTCTCATAATCATATGGTGGTTTCAGGACGTTAAACCCCACATATCAATCATTTGGCGTATTCTTAGTTGTCCTGCAGCGCGGAATTGTGATCTCTCCCAAAAATAATTATGTTTGGCGCTTTCTGACATCTTTATATGATTTACATTCCCTGGCTTCGGCTAATGGGCAAATGTACTGTCAGCTGAAACATTTACAGATGGCCTTCGCAGCAGTAATATACGGCATTCGTAGTAGATGGCCTTTCCAGTAGTAAAGTACCGTGAATGCATCAGCCAGCGCAGTAGCCAGGTGTCGTTTCTTTGAATAATAGCCAGACCTGATTTGTCTGTTCATATTGACGTACAAAGGATTAAGCACCAACATTTGTCATCATGGTGTTTCGTGAGAAATATGCATGTCGCTTCGTAAATCAGTTATCTTCAACAGAAAGGTAGCTTGTAGCCACATTACTAGGCATTATAAAAGTACAGCCTACACGAAGCAAGATTAGTTCGTGATAACTCCTTTCTTGACGGCTTTCCCGCGTAAAAAATACCACTCTGAGACAGACGGCCTTATGACCCTTACGTTCGGCTAAAGTAGCTCACTCACGCTGCAGGATTAGAACTGATTGCTTTAGTAAGTTCCAAGTTACTGCAGAATCAAATGAAGTAACATTGAGGATTCATCAACAAAATATTCGTTAAAAATCTTTGTAGCATGGTAATGATACCAAAATCTTTCCAAACAACATCTTGTTCAACAACAAGGACAAAATTGTCTGTCTTCTC